GGGCAACAGCCGCTTCACATACAGCGTCAGCGAGGATGGCTGCACGGTAAATGCCCTCTCCCTTCATACTGATGTGTTTAGTTAAGACATTTGCTGTGAGCATTTGATTAATTATTTGTTTTAGAAGCGCATAAGACTACCAGAAAGGTTAGCATCAGAAATTACAGTAGGAGCCATTCAAAATTTCCCCACTTTCCTTCTTGGGCCCCTGGCTGGTCCCCCTTCAGTTTCAACATCAATATTTGTACTAAAATATTCTCTCTGTCATGATTTGTGGACATTAAGATCTAAAGAAAAGCGCCATCTCCTGGTCAGACCCTGTAATTCAGTGATAGAGTGGAGTATATGCATAAATATGCACGCCCAGGAGAAGGCCAGTGGCTGGAATTTGGCGGCCATTTTGCTGGAAGCTGCAGGGAAGTGGGCGGCCATTCGGTTGGCGTTTGCAACAATATGCAAGAGGGCGGTCACTCCAGGGGTGGAAGTTGGAGGGGATTTCGCTGGGAATTGGAGGGAAATGGGCTGCCAATTGACTGACGCTTGACTAGGGCCATTTTGAATGGCTGCTACTGTATAGCGTAGCTAGAGTCTGTTTGTCTGGAGAAAGTCTGAGCTTTTCGGACGCAGTGGGCTCCATAATAAACAGAGCTTGCAGGCTGAGCAGAATAGAACAGAGCTCCTTTACTCTGGTTGCTCATCTAATGAAGTTTAGCTCTCTTTCGATCTCCAGCAGCTTCAGCAAACTGCAGATCTGAAAGCACAGGTTCTTTTTTAGTATTTCTCAGTTCTTCCTTGGCTTTGGTTTAATTTTCTGCCCGACACTAAAAAAAAAAAGCTCCCATTGAGTGATTTTTTTAACTAAAGGAAGAATGTGAGAAACATCTAGCAGAAGACACCATCCTCATGGTTCATCATACTTGTTTTCATATTGATTTGCTTTTATACTCCAACACCAGACGATTCCTTTTATATTAACCGTAAGAGAGAAATGGCTTTTATAAAATCTTATGTCTTAAACTGGAAACAGTACAGCTTATTGGGTGACATAATTGGCTCTTATTGCGTGAAACTCTACAGATTATATACCCAGTTCACTCATTTCAAAGAATGGGAATTTCTATGTTTCTGACTAGCTTGATTGGTTTAATGTTTCCACAGCAATGACAGTTTTTGAGTCTCAGTGTTTTTTAATATATTTGTTTCAGTCTTAGAGTCTTATATCTGTTTCTTCTTTATTTTCTTTCCCTAAAGTCACACACTGGCACATGGGGCAAGACAGTCATCGACTACAAGACATCGAAAACATCCCGACTGCCCATCATTGACATTGCTCCTATGGATGTTGGTGCACCTGATCAGGAATTTGGCGTCGAAGTTGGCCCTGTTTGCTTCTTGTAAAAAACCCCAAAAACAAACAAAAAAAATGAAAGAAACATGGACATGAAATTGTTGTTTTTTTCTAACAGCCATCTCTGAAACCTTTTTTTTTTTCTATGCAATCAAAACTCATTTGGCCACCATTGGTCCACAATGCTTAAAAACCACTCCACTCAAGACGGTGTCTGCGTTTTTTCCCCCCCAATCATGAGACGCTTTTTGGGACTGCTACTTCACCTGAAAAAAATCAACCACAAGGACACTCAGAATAAATCCCTTCGATTCCACTGGCAACAAGAAAATAATGTACGTATGTGTAAAATTTCCCCAAAGGAAATGATTCAAAATAGAAATAAAGAAAAAAAAAAATAATCAGGTAATTTTTTTTTACCTATTTTCCACCGCTCCAGAAGGACTTTGAAAACAACAAATGATATGTACCATTTTTCTGGTGTTAAATAAATTGTAAAAAGTGTGAAGTGTCTTGTTGATCTAAATACATAAGAAAAACACCTGAACTTTGGACCAACAAAAGAACAAGGCAACTAAGCTCACCTTCACAGCAATATATAGATGGCTACCTCAGTTACCCCCAATATTTCTTTAAAAAGCCACTTGGGGAACATTGAACAATTCAAAGGTGCTATAACAAATCGAATGAGGTCCAGTTATCAGTATTTGATGATCAAACTCACACTCTCATACTGTAATTGTTGCCACTATTGCCTGCAGAACTCTGGTGCTACTAAATTCACTCATTGTCTTGTTTTCTATGCAGTGCAATTGTTTTCTTCTTTAACTGTTGGTTTGATAACAGAGGCGATTGCTGCAGATGTGATGCATGCATTCGTGTCTTTGTAGATAAGAGCGAGTGAATTCCCTGCCCACGTGTTCAGTGTTTGCCCCTCCTGTGGAAAAAAAAACTTCTTAAATACTCCTGAAACCCCTCCCGCACAAGAACAACACATCTCCCCGGTTGTTTATGTTTCATTGATGTCTTTTTTTGCAGAGTTTCTTCAAATGGAAATAGAAGCAGACACACTTTCATGGTTTCAAGGAGAGGTTCTGTACTTATTTTGTACATGTATAATAAATCAAGATGTTTTTAATTATTTTGGGTGCTGAAATAAAGCATGTGAAGTGGTCTACTCGATGGCAGAGTTTTCACTGTTGTTAAGACTTAAGATGCGGGATTCAGAAATCATGCCTGACGTTTAAAACATGAGCTGCAAAAAGCCAAATAAACTTTTTTTTGTTTGTTGTTGCACTGAATGTAGTTCTGTGGAGCAGCAGTGAAAACAAGGCCAGCATCTAATTTAAAAATCCCTCAATAGAAATACTCTAATCATCAGCTTTCTAGCTGACATCCTTAGCAGATCCTGCATTAGGAGCTGATTCATAATCAGAAGACCAAAGATTTGGAAGAGAACAATGCTCTGACAGGAGGGACCTGCTGCCACCTTGTGGACATGATGTGCTATAACCAGGAAAACAGAATGAGCAACAGTCTTTTTTGTCATTTTTATTATGCTATATAAAGTTCATAACTTAAATAGGCCGGACATAAGAAAAGACCACAGCCCTTTCCGTGCATTGAATAGACTTGTTATTCAAAGCACTGTTATTATAACATTTAAATGTTTTAAAGTTAGCGGCCTAGTGATTAGGGCATAGAGCTTGGGATCCTGAGGTTCTGAGTTCGAGCCCCATTCTCACATGCTGCCACTCTGGGTCTCTTAGCAGGAGCCTTAACCCCCGATTGCTCCCCCGGCGTCCCACGATGGCAGCCCACTGCTCCCCAAGGGGATGGGTTAAATGCAGGGATACATTTCTCCAATGTGAGATCAATAAATCAATGGAAAAGGTAGTCATAAAAAAAAGTCATGAATATGGGGCTGCATGGTGCAGCAGTGGGTAGCTGGCCTGGCCCCAGGTCTTTCTGCATGGGGTTTGCATGTTGTCAGCATGCATGTGTCGGTTGTCTCCAGGTACTCCTGCTTCCTCCCACAGTCCAAAAACTCAAATGTTAGGTTCATTGGCTTCTCTAAATTGTTGCGTGTGTGCATGGTTGTACGTCTTTGTGCATCTGTGTTGCCCTACGACAGACTGGCACCCCGTCCAGGGTGTACCCCACCGTTTGCCCATATACTGCTGGAAATAGGCACGGCCCCACTGCAACCCTGAAGGAGTAAGCTAGAGAAGATAAATGGATGGGTGGGTTGAGGATGATTATGTAGCTTCCGATTCTTAGAACTTTTCTTGGGTGAAAGCAACATGCATGCTGTTGATCTCTACCTCAAAAAAGCTGAACATGTCAGAGAAGGAATTTAAGCCTACAGATTATTCTCATTCCACCAAAGGACACTTATACAAACGGTAAAGATACATAAAGTCTGTAAAGCTCTCAAAGGATCAAATACGTTGCAGCTGTAATCGATTCCTCCAACCTCAAGCTGCAACTTTAATCAGTTTTAGGTGAAGAGAAAAGACAAATGTTTAGTATTGACTAGTCACTTTGGGTCAATACTTTTAACTTATGAGTAGGGCTTGATTCAAAGTATTGAAAGGCATCTCTGGTTGAATTTTTTTTTTTTTTAGGAACATTGTTTTCCGTCACCTGCTTTGCTCTTGTGTTTCGTTCCGTCCATCTACAGTATGTGTCAAATCCAAACTAAAGCTTGTCTCTTCCGAGCAGTAGCATTGCTGCCACTCTTTCTCAATGAGAAGATCAATCAGCTCAACGAAGCATATGACGTACTAACAGCCAGGCTACTCTTGCCGAAACCAGTCGGGAGAAGAGCAAAAACATCTTTTCCTCTGAGAAAAGCCTCCAGAGCAGTGTTTTGCTCTTCTTTCAGTGAAGAAATACTCTGTAATTCCCATAAAACTTGCTCGATAGCCACGCTAACGCTAGTTTCATCGGCTGAAGCCGCCATGTTCTTTAGACTGAACTGTCGCGCTTCTCGTTGCGTCACACCTCAACCCGCCTCAAAGCCAACGCTGATTGGACGTTCGTTTGGTGAACGGCTCCAAATTTTCTTCAACTGAGAGTCTCCAGACTGACTAGCGAGAAAAATCTTGAAAGCTCGCGAGATCAGGATGGTCTCACGAGGCTACAGAATTATAGGAACTGAAAAACAGCTTTCCTTCTGAGTTGCTATGGCTGCTTCTCTCGTCAATTCTGTCCGTTCCCTTCCTGCCAGTTTAGGTGCGATTCTCTTCCTATTTTCAGGAGATGGATTTTTAACTAATTATATGCTTAAAGGTCATGACATAGTTTGGGTTAGCTAACCATCTGTTCCTTTAGTTGAATAAAACATCCATTTTCTACCGCTTAGTCCTTGTCAGGGTCATGGTGGGGCCGCTGCCTATTACTGTCAGTCTACGGGCGAGAGGCGGGGTACACCCTGGAGAGTTCTGCTGGCTGTTGCAGGGCAACACAGCGACACACAACCCTACACACACACACTCACACCTAAGGACAATTTAGAGAAGTCATGTTTTTGGACTTTCAAATGAAGCCGGAGTACCCTGTGAGTACCCACGCATGCACAGGGAGAACATGCAAACTCCATGGAGAAAGACCCAGGACTCAAACCCAGAACCTACTTGCTGCAAGGCAACAGCACTCTCCACCATGCCGCCCCTTAAACAAAACATCTTATTTGTTTTTAAGCAATCAAAAGAATCCTTTTGCATAGATGAATCATTTATTGGTAGATATGCATTGCTTTACCCAATTTGAAAGAGTATGCATCATGTGTTACATAGGAAGGAATCATCTAACAACCATGCTGAAAATAATATGTGATTACAGCAAAAGAATGGATTAAAGTTTCAGGAATACGTTTTGAACTGCAGAAAACAGTAGGGGCTAAAAGGTGGTAGCGAAAGCACAAACAGTTAAGAAAAGCAAGGAATAAATTGTCAAACCGGTCGTTTGGTTCACGGCACTGAAAACGTACATGCAGCAAAACTGATCTTCGCCATCAGCATTTCACTTCCTGCAAATAAAAACAATGTGAGAAAGATTGGATGCATCAGTATCAATGGAAACAAATGAATGCAGTGATCTGGTTTACCTGGGCAGCGTGTCGCTGTAGGGTTCCCTGTGAAGATAACGAAACAGAACCCAACACCATTAAAATTATAATATGCATAAAAAACATATCTAATGTGTACTTTTTTTTCTCATATATAAGGTTTACTTATTTTCAGTATCCAAATATGCAATACAAATTCTGAAATAAGTACTCTAGTTATCATCACCCTTCCCTTGTAGTCCCGCCCCACCGGGCGAGTCATTCAGGAGATGGATATACCCCAAAGTAACAATAGAGTAAAATAAAATTAAAATAAATACATAGATAAGTAAAGGGGGAGGGTGGTTAAGTTTAAAGTTTAATGTATTTCAGCAAGTAATTAATTGAGCATCCAATTTCTCCACAAAGTTTAGAAACAGTTAGATGATCTCACAGTTTATCTAATATTTTTCTAGTTTTAATGACTGCATAGTATTAATCTCCTTGCTAGTAAGGTAGTGTATGCCATCACATATGTCTCCAATGGCTAATTTGTAGTTTTTAAAAGAGCAAACTCCATATTTGCACATATTTTTCACCCCTTAACAATTCAAAGAAATTGAATATAACATTTTTGTCAGGACTCCTGTCTGTATGTTTGTGTTTCTGTGTTTTTCTCCCTTCCTCCACCAGGAGGCGCCTGGTTCTGGTCAACCCGAGTTCTAACATTGTTTTTGTCTTTGCCTCCCGGCAGAAAGTCATCCTGCAAACTGGATTTTTTGGACCTTCTCTCCCTGGAAGGATCAACAGAGCTTCAAGCTGAGCTGGGGTTACAAACAGGAGGTTTGGAGCCACTTTCCCAAGAGATCGTTTGAGCTTCACACTGAGAAAGGGATTCGTCTCCACTACAACCCGTTCAAGTACCACAGGAAATCTGAGTGGCAGTCAGCTTCAAACAAACAACCGCATTCTGGGTAAACCCTGTTCTGCCCTCCACCGAATCAGACAAACACTGGAACAACAGCATACAGACTGGAGTCGAAAAATTCAACAACTTCTCTGGAAATGTGAGTCAGCAACCAGATCCTCTTCTCCAAGTTCACAAATCAAATTTCCCACTGAGCCTGAACTAAACGCCGGGTCTTCCCCTCACTCTTCAGTTCCGGTTGAGCAG